CCTGATTCAAGGTGTGGCCTCACCGGAGTCCAGGCCAGAATCACCTCCTGGTCCTGCTGACCACACTGTCCTGACCCAGGCCAAGATGCCATTCTTGGCCCCCTGAGCCACTGCTGGCTCCCGTTCAGCTTCCTCCCACCCCTTCCTAGAAGTGGATGTAAATAATATAAACCTTCTATTCTCTCCCCCCAATTCATGAGACACACAGATATCTACAAACATATATATATATATATTTAGGAAAGAGAGGATTTGGGGCTGGGTTTGTGTCTGTTTTGTCCATGCCTGTTGTGTTTTCCCCTCGTGCTGCTGCAGCCAATGGTGGAGGCAGTTTGAAGAAGCAACATCCAAGCTGCTCTGGGATTGAGCTGTGTATTGCTAACTAACCCACCTCTACCCAGTGCTTTTAATTGCCCTTAATGAAACTATCATCAGCCAATTAAGCAGCTCCTGTTTACCTAAAGTTCACCAAACTCAGCCTGTTGGAAATATTCAACTATCCATCTTGAGCTAGGACACTGTTATAAAATAAACACCTGGTTTGGAAAGTAAACATGGAGTTTCTCTTGCCCTTTGTTTGTTAATGTCACACACAACTGTGCTCTGTTCTGAGGCCATTTCGCAATGAAAAAATACTCAGAACAGGCTAAAATTGTACCTATTTAATGAGAGTTTTAGGTCAGGCTGTGCTCACCGTGGATGCTTCCCGTGGGCCTCAGCCCCAGGAAGCTTCCCTAGGTTATTTGCACACATAAATCATTTATTTTGCTCTGATTTCAAAGGGGAAAGCCTGGCCTGGGTCTCAGCTCAGGGAATCTTGTGTGGCTAGAGAAATAATCAGCCTGGTGTAGCCAGTAAAAAATCCCAATAATCCACCCAAATAAGAAAAATTTACTCCCTGTCAATGCTCAGCTACCCAAGAAAAGGTCCTGGATAGCTAATTCTACCTGAAATGCAGCTCAAGGTGAGATCATGGCTCTGTGTGACATGAGAGAACACCCAGAGCTTACATCACTCCAGGCTCTCCCTGGTTCAGGTGCTGCTGGAGGGACCTGCAAGGGATGTCTTCAAAGATTTGAGAGTTAAATGACAACAAGAAGGGAGTAAGGAAGGGAAATACTGGGCTGGTTCATCTGTTGGTCAGGAATCACATCTAGTGCCTGTATCAAACCTTGGCCCAGGTGTAGGGCAAATGTGTGACCCTCCAACAGGGTGGAAAACCAGCAAGTGAACAAAAGCAACTGTTTCTTATGGAAAACAAACATTCCCTGATCTGGGAGCAGCTAGGCTGGCAAAGCCAAAAATCCCCAATGGCATGAGCTCCTCCAAAGATCCCCAGAACTCAACACACACCTGATCCTTCTCTCTGGCCTAGCAGCCTCATCCCTCCTGTCACCTCAGAGCCAAATGTCCCTTCCTCCCACTGCCATCATTTCACAGGAAACCCCAAATCCAGCACTTGCCCCTGCTGTGGTCACCTTTATAATGCATGGCCAGAGCTACCCACAACAGGAACCATAAATCCATGTGGTTATCCAGGAGTTTGGGAATTAAATCCCCTTCCTACAGCTTCTCATCACTTTGGGTTTTTCCTCCTCCATCACCCAAAGGGCTCCTTCATTTCCCAGTGCTTCTTGTCCCAACCTTGTTCTCCTGCTTCTACATCCCAGTAAACATCCTCCCTCTAGGAGAGGGATGGAGCTGGACCAGGCTAGCTTCCCAGCAGGATAACTGCCAGACAGGGACCTGCCTCCCTCTGCTGATGGGAAAGGACATTACAAAGCCACAGACACGCCAAAAACATCTCCATGAGATCCCAGTGTGGAATAAGCATGAAAGATTCAGCTCTGCTCTTCTTGCCTAGCACAGGAAACTTCCCCTGGAGCCAGGACTTAGGCATGGGAATAATGCAAAAAAAATAAGCATCCTTGCTCAAAACCACAGAGCAGAGACCTCAGGGGTGGGTCCTCAGGACTTTTAAAACTAGGTTTTATTTTTACCAAACATAAAGTCTTTCTGGAGCACAGCAGTAGAACCAGCCCTGCTTGGGCAGCACAGGCTGGGAAGTGATTTATCCTGGGAAGGTCAGAACCCACAGCACTGCCAGCAGGAAACTTCATGCCAAGCTTTGCAGGGGAAGTTTGATGAAAGCTGCAGGACTGGGCACTGCTGAGGGTGGCACTGGGCTGGCCCCTCCTGGCTGGTTTTCTCCATCCCTCCTGGCCAAGGCTCCCCCAAGAGCCAAACTCATGGGCACTCCCCACAGTCTGAGATGATCACCTTCTGCTTCGGTTTCCCATCTTTGGTGCCCTGAGCCTTGGAGAAAAAAAGCAGCA